TTTCCCGAAATGGCCGGTTGTTCTCAGTTCTTAGGATTTCTAGGCCCTAAGGCTTACTACTGGTTTCATAGTCTTGCCATCTTTGCCATGTGGTGGTCGTAACAGATCTGCCCTCCTTTTCTCGATTTGCGGGTATCGCTTGCCTTCCCTGCCGGAAAGCCTGCCGCTATGGGTTGGCATTTTGTCACCGCCGCTCATCGGTTCTAACGTGGCGTGTCCATAGCGGGTGGGTCGCTCTTTTGGAGACGATATTTTGCCTCCCCAACCTTTGGACACCTCTAGCGCCCTCGGTAGTAGCGGCCATCCTAGTCCTTTTCTAACACACCCTTAACTAGAGTAGGACTCCAACTGCTATCTCCCGCATATCGCCATTCTTGCTTTTGTTTAGCACTTCATAGCTAGAATTCACATTTGCCACCTTCCCCGATGTTTTCTCACACCGGTTCCTCAGGAGCGTCCTGTTCAACAAGCTCTGCGAACAGGCTAGCCACCCTTGCAAGGTAGTTTTCACCCATCCCTATTTCCCTAATAATTATTGGCTCATATTCTTCGTAAGCTAGCTTTGGTATCCCAACTATCAGAATCTCGATGAGCTCTAGCAATTCCCGGATCCTATTTCTCTAAAACAGTCTGTGTTTTATCGAGACATCGTAAAACATTCCCGTCGTCTGCGGATGGAAATGGTTATCCAAGTTAAAGTTGCATTCACCGGGTTCCTTGCCCTTGTGAGGCTCCCGAATACCAGGTTTATCATAAAATGGGGTACTCGACACCGCAATCCTGTCATTGAGGCTCTAAACTTTCACCATCCTTCTACTTCCACCCGAGGTCTCAACCCTACATTCCTCCTTCCCCGAATCTCTTGGCCTATCCAGTTCAATGCCCTAGTTGCTTTCCGAAAGATTGACAGCAGCCCATGCCCTAGTGCCATCTCGGTCCCTAGCGTGTGCCACATAGTTTCAGGTAGATACATGGTTCCATTCACCCTCAGGTCGGTGTACAGGTCATCCCCTGACCCCCTATTGAATCTCATGCCACTCCATAGGCATTCCACCATCATAAAGGTTTGGTTTCGTCCCAAGGTCACAACTCACTTTTCTACGTCGATCCCTCGAACCTCGTAGCTTGCTGGGAGCGATACTTCCCATCTGTTACCGCTCTCCGTAGGTGGTTGCGGGTGCGTGGATCGTCACGACGTTCGGGTGTGTCTCGTTGCCATCGCCAGTTGGCGGATTCCTACATGGTTCAGACAGAAAGTAAATTCCTCTTATTATTTACATGGCCCCAGGCATTCTCTGGTTGTCCTCATGCCCCCTATCCCGTCCTTTCCACCACTTTTGTTTTTCCTTTCCTTTTCTTATTGGGCTGCCTCCTTATCTGGTCGCTCGAATGAACGATAGACATCGTCTATGTAGGTCATTCCACAACTGACTTCGCGCCTAATGACGCCCCACATAGTTTCAACACTTACTAGTGGGATCTTGGTCTAGTTGTTAGAGCCGCACGCAATACGCACAATACTTCGTATGAATCGTATCCCTGTTCTTCCTCAAATGACCCCATTTCTAGGAAGACCCGATAGTATTCTTGCTACACTGTGTTTCTTCAAAACTTAGCCTAGCAAGTGTAGCTACCGCCTGCTCAACCCATTCTATGTCTCCCATTCCTCTTAGTAGAAAGGGTGGCAGGCTCATTCATACAATTTCGTTTGGCGGGGTAAAGGTTTCTGCCATGACGGTGCTTACTTTGACCGTTACGTCGTCCTGCTTCGGATCCACGAATTTGAACCTCTCTCGCCAGGTTAGTTGCCAAGCCCCCTCAAGCATTCGCACAGGGTCTCCCCCAGACGCTAAGGTGATTCTAAAGGTGTGCCACCCTTCTTCCGACAGGTACAGAGAACACGTGGCATGTACGTGTCCCGGAAGATCTAAGTTTACGACCCCGAATTCCCCTCTTGTACGCCATTCCAATTTCACCACTAGGTACACTGTATCTTCCACCAGCTCTATTCCCACCCAATCCATTACCGGGTTGCTCACCCCATTCCTTGTCGGCATACTTATCTCCACCCTGTTGTCTATCTCGTTCGGCAGCAAGATCTCGCGGGGCCTATTCTCCCAAAGCGTCATTCTTCGACTATGTTGCACGCCCGGTCACGGCCGGGGTCGAAAAATCGGCCGTCGTTCGGCCACGGCCAGCCAACCGAGTTTGGTGCAACATTTTTTTTCCCATATTTTCGCACAAAAATAAAAATAAAAAAAATGGGCGTGCAGGGCTGAAAAAGCCCTACATGCCCATATTTGTTTTTCAGGTGTCCGATGTTGCGGGTCTCGTGAAAAAAAAAAACGAAACCAAAAAAAAAAGAGGGGAAAAAA